AATGGCTTTATCGTCCTTGATTGCTCCTTTTATAGCTCGATCATCTAGGGGACCCACAGGTTTTTTAGCAGGCTTCCTGCTTCTAATGTACTTTAAAAACATTTTATTTCTTTTTGAGTTTTTGGCTAGCTGTTCCTCAAAATCTTTTTTTGCTTTTCTTATTACATTTTTACACTTGAGTTGACAGTGTTTATGTTCTTTTCTATTTATCTCACTAGGATTGGACTTCCACTTCTTAAAAGATACCTTTTTGTCCCTCACTGCTTCTTTTACATGGTGGTTAAGCCACGGTGACTCTTTTTTAGGTCTCTTACTATGTTTTTTAATTTGGGGTATACGTTTAAGTTGGGCCTCTATTATGGTGTCTTTAAAAAGTTTCCATGCAGCTTTCAGGGATTTGGCTCTAGTCACTGTGTCCTTTTAATTTCTGTTTAACTAACCTCCTCATTTTTGTGTAATTCCTTTTTAAATTAAATGTCAAGGTGCTGGATTGCTGAGGTGTTCTTCCCACCTCAGGAACATAACGTATGCAACCGCGCACAGTTATGGTTACATAACTTATGCAACTGAACACACGTCTAACCAACATCCAACTTCTTATGAATAATGGCAAGAAGGCAGGACTTGCATTATACCCTGACAGATAGCAAATAAGGGCTGTTACAGCCCAGAGGAAGGAGTTCCAGGAACCCAAAAAAGAATGCTCTCCCTTTTGTTCCTTTTTTTATACTGATGGGGTTTCGACTTCAGTTGTGGCATATGTCATAGGAAGAAAGCAAGGCTCTAATGTAGATCTCAGGCCAGTTGTGTAGCACATTCTACTGGTATATGCTTTGAGAATGGAAATAATAGAAAGGACTTTGAGGAGGAAAGAAATTGTTTAGCAGCCAAACGAATTATCAAATGAGCATTGCATCTGACAAAGTGGGTCTTTGCCCACGAAAGCTTATGCTCCAATACATCTGTTAGTCTATAAGGTGCCACAGGACTCCTTGTTGCTTTTGCAGATCCAGACTAACACAGCTACCCCTCTGATACTCAAATGAGTATCTGATATTCCAAATATATGAGTAGGGAATTTCAACACCCAGTACTTCTCCACAATACCTGATTGGATATTCTTTTGTCTTGATATTCTCTATGTCTTTTTGGTGCAACTTTCCTTCTCCTTCTACACTCACCCTCTCATGTTGCCCCTATAAATTTCACTTGTTTCTTTCACCTTCCTTAATCTCCTTCCTTTTTTTCTTTCCCTGTCCTTAGCTATTATGTGCAACACATTCTAATTCAGGAGACTGGCACTTACTCTGAACATTGGTGTGTGTTATGGGGTTGTAAACCATGTTGATTTTAGGTCTCTGGCAGAGAGTTCCTGCTAAATCCTGTCTCTGGCTAGAAACTTCACAATGCACTGTAGATCCTGCAGGCTCATGTAAACTTTTCATAAGGGTAGGTTTTGGGTCTCTCTGAACCCTGATGGTAGATAAAGGTTCAGAGTTGGTGTTTGGAAGAGATGGACTGAAGTGAGATTGACTTGGTTGAAGATTCTCTCTCTGGATTTGTTTCTGTTGCTGGTTATTTGCCTTCCTTTCCAGAATCATCTGCAGGAACAAGAAGCTGGTTAGATTTAAAACCTACAAACATGACTAAGAACATAAAGATCGCCAAATTGGGTCAAATCAATGGTCTATCTACCCCAGTAGCCATCTTCCAAAATGGCCATTGACACATTTCAGAGGGTATGAACAAAACAGGGACATTTATCAAGTAATCCATCCCCTGTCATTCAGTCCCAGTTTCTGCAAGTCAGAGGTTTAGGGACACCCAGAACATTAAATTCCTTCTCTGATAATCTTGGCAAACAACAATTGATATATCCTCCATGAACTTATCTAGTTTTTTTAAACTCTAGTATAGTCTTGACCTTCACACAATCATCTGCCATAGAATTCCCTATGTTGACTGGGAATTTTATGAAGCGGTTCTCCTTATGCTTGTTTTAAACCTACTGCCTATTCATTGCATGACCCCTGGTTTGTGTTTTATTTGAAGGGCTAAATAATACTCCCTTCTTCACTTTCTCCACATCATTCATGATTTCATAGAGCTCTATCATCCCAACATCTCCTCACACACACCCTGTCATCTCTTTTCTAATATGAACAGTCCCAATCTTTTTAATCTCTCTTCACATGGAAGCTGTTCAATCCCACTAATCATTTTTGTTGCCCTTCGCTGTATTTTTCCCAATTTTTTTTTTTTTTTTTTAGTTTGGGTGACTAGAACTTCATGTAGAATTCAAGGTGTGTGCTTACCAGATGCCAGCATACAGCAGCATTATGGAAAATTTCTGTCTTACTATCTATCTCTTTACCAGTGATTCCTAATATTCTTTTCACTTTAGATTAATAGATTTATAGGCTTGAAAGCCAGAATGAACCATCATGATAATCTAGTCTGACTTCCTGCACATTGCAAGCCCCAAAACCACGCCCCACACTTCTGTAACAGACCATAACCTCTAGTTGAGTCTTCGAATCATGATTTAAAGACTTCAGGTTACAGGGACTCAGACATTTACACTAGTTTAAATCTGCAAGAGACCCATGTTTTTAGAAAACATAATCCCAACTATACATATACAATGATAGGGTCTAAATTAATATTACCACTCAAGACAGATCTTGGAGTAATTGTGGATAGTTCTATGAAAACCTTTACTCAATATGCAGCGGCAGTCAAGAAAACAAACAGAATGTTGGGAATCATTAAGAAAGGGATAGATACAGCTTCCATGTGAGGAGAGACTAATAGGACTGAGACTTTTCAGTTTGGAAAAGAGACAACTAAGGGTGGGGAATATGATAGAGATCTATAAAATCATGGCTAGTGTAGACAAAGTAAATAAGGAAGTCTTATGTATTCCTTCTTATAACAAGAAACAGGGGTCATCAAATGAAATTAATAGGCAGCAGGTTTAAAACAAAGTATTTTTTCATATAATACACAGTCAACCTGTGGAACTCTTTGCCAGAGGACATTGTGAAGACCAAGACTATACCAGGGTTCAAAAAAGTTCATGGAAAATAGGTCCATCAATGCCTACTACGGGGTGGCCAACCCGTTCTAGACAAATAGCCAAAATAGCAGTGAATACAGCACAAAGAGCCGGGGCAAAATTTTTGAGGGGAAAAAAAGGGGGGGACTGCCCCTTAAGAAACACATTTAAAGGCTTGTTGGCCACATCAGGCTCCCACCAGCCACCTTGAAGATGCCATTTTGAATGGCCGCGCCGGATGTCTCTCCTGCCCTGGTCAGCACTGGGTAACGGAGGCTGTTTTCAGGAGCTCAGGGGCAGTTCGCGAGATTCAGGGGTGGCATCACAAGCCACACTTTCAGGAGGGAAGAATTGCATGTGGCTCCCCAGGCACC